TTGTGTGTCCTGTGATATGAGAAGTTGGATACTGTTATTTCCCTGTGATAAAGCAGTTTTCCGTCTTACTGGCTCTTAGATTTTTACTTGGCGGTCTCTGTCAAACAACTGGCATTATTTTGCTCTCCGACGTTCTTGATTTTTCTCCAGGGTTGTGGCTTTTGACTTGAAAAACAAAAAAGAGGGGGCCTAATCTGTATTGGTAATTTGACAGTAGCAAAGCATGTTAAATTAGTGGATGTCCGGATTCGGAATGACAGAGCGGTTTGACACTGGGGAAACATACGGATCTGCCCTTTTTGTATGTCACCGTTTGCATTTGAAAGATGCAAAAACTCATGCAATATATTGCTTTCTATAGCTCTGTTTTTAAAGGACCTTGTTTGTGTGTAAATTACAGTTCAGAGGCCTGCAGCCATTTAGGGTGAAGCATGATGACCATGGTCTGTTGATATTTGTTGTTGTAAACGCAGCTCTACAGAAAACTTCAGTTCGGATGCGTGGTGGGGAAAAGGATGCAGCTTCTCCAGAGGGCACCAAGACTCAAACCTGCCCCTTTGAGGACCGGGAAACTTCAGACCTTTTTTTACCCCCTCTTTTCCCACGTTACCTTCCTAAGAAAGTCCCTAGTGCTGATGCAAGGCTTTGAACAACAAAATCGGGTTTAATTATTCACTGAGGATTTTCTACGTGTATGCGTGCTGTGGGGCTGACGCTCTTTACTGATCTGGCATCAGTGCCCCCAGAATATCGGCTTCTTGCGGAGGCTTTCTGCTCAGGTACTTGAGGAACCGTCTTACATGGGTACGTTGGAGGGGAGGAGGGGGGGAACACATCTGCTTTCTAATTGTAAAGCTGCAGGCTGAACATCTGAGGGGCTAATTTAGTTCACTGTTGCTCTTGCATGTTAGAGCAGCACCACTATTTCAGTAAAATAGTGCTGTTGCAGGGCTGCAATGTTGACATAAGCCTGGAGTTCTTTCAGTTTAACCACAAGGCTACACACTTGAGTTATTAAATAATTTTTTTGTTTAATTGAACTATAATCTTTGTTGGTCTCCTAGCTGACAGCTGGGTTTTAATGTGCATGAGATCAAAACGCTGCATCCAGGAGATGACACACTTGCTCGCTTCATGGCTAACCACAGCTCCAGCGCCGCGCGCTGCTGCCTGTTCACCTTTGCAGGGTCCCAGCCGCCTCCCCGCAGGTTTGCTCTTGCTCCCCTTTTCGGGGAGATGTGCTGGGGCAGGGGGGCAAGGAGCAGCCGAGATCAGCAAGCTCTGGAGGTGGAGGTCTCCCCTGGGGTGTTAGTCCCCAGCCATTTGTGCGTGGAACAGCCCTGCAGTGTGTACCTGCGCCCTGCCATTTGCATGACAAAGCCGCTTCTTGTTGATGCATCTGTTGCCTGGAGGTGTTAGGCAGGATTAAAAAGCCGCCCTGGGGCACTGAATCTTTTTTCCGCTGGGCGCAAACCCTTGGAAGGACCCGTCTGCCTGCAAACCGCCCAGGGGATGCACCCCCGGGGAAAGGTGGCCAGACCCAGGATGGGGACCATCTCTGATGGAGGTGGCCTTGGCTCGCTACGCCAGCACAGAGAGAGCAAAGCTTTCTTGGAATGGGAAAAAAGTTACTTTCACCAACGTATGTAGGAAAAAAAAAAGCCTTTTTTAAAAAAAAGGCGAACGCTTTACATTCTTGCTCTGTAAAATTAAAAATACAAATCTGTAGTCAGACACAACGTGTCTAATAAGCCTTAAAAGAAGAAAACTGTAGTGTAATTTCAGTGCAGCTTTTGGAGGGGAGAGGGTGTATAAGGAGGATTTCAAATTTTCCTAAATCTTCTATTGTTAGAGTGGTCTCATCTTCTCTTGTCCTCCTCTTTTTTTTGAATTTTTTATTTTTTTTATTTTTTAATTTTTTTATTTTACTGGCAACTGATTTGCCTTTTACAGGTTGGATTTGTAGGAGCAGGAGAGTGTTAATTGCAAGTTCAGGTAGAACCCTCGTGCCGCAGTACGTATTGTTATCAGATAGCTGGGTAAGTGAAAAAGCAAAGCAGTTGGTTTGGGTGGCTGCAGGAGAAGTGGCACATGATGGTACTAAAACCGCAGTAACACCTGGTGAATGTGCATCCTGTGTGCTCGAGATATCTTTTGGTGGTTTCTCAGCATCGTGGGGGTACTGAAGATGGGAGATGGAGACAGCTGCTTGTTTTTTAACATGTGTGGGTTTTTTCTTACTTTTTCGTTAACAAGACTAGTTTTGGGGTAGCAAACCTTTCTCGTCTGTGCGATGGGAACGTGGGGACAAAGGAGGTGACTGAAGAAGAATCATTTCTCTGTGTCTTAAATTCATCCAGAAAATAATTTTGTCTTTTTTCCTCCCTCTTCCCCAATGAATTAAACTTTCTGTGGGAAGATAGAGGATTTCTGCAACCTCCCTTTTGTCTGTTCTTATCTGTTCTTGGGGTCTGGGTTTATTTCTTCGTGGCTAAACTGTCTCTTTGTAGCAGCTGGAGGTGTTAAATAGGTTGGAGGATACAATCTATAAACACCTTACAGAGACTTGCAAAACACAGCATAGCCATTTGAAAATGATGAGGAATTCTTCTAAGAGAGTTTGAACACAAGGAGCAGCATTTATACACAGGACCCCCCTACCCTGCCCAATTTGTAGATACTCCTTGCGTGCTTCTGCATGGCAAGGGCTGTGGAGATAGCTCCTGTCTTGAAGAGCTAACGTCCCAGGAAAAAATTGTGCGGATAATATGGACAGGAGGAAGGATGAGGGTAGAAATAGCAAGAATGAGTGGCTACAAAGCCTCAGTAAGAGGGGTTTATTTGCCTAGCTGCATCTTGCTGTCCCTGTGAAAGTAGGCTCGTTCACTTGCCTGCGGGGAATTTTTGGGACTCCGAGGGGAATGTATGGTAGTGTTAAAGTTAGCGTATCCAGCTGCAGAAGGACACGAACCTGATTTTTCATAATATTGTCTTTTCCTGAGAGTCAGCTTCTGCTGAATGTGCAATTGTAGGCGCTCGCTGGGAGCCATGGTCAGCTGAAAACTCCCTGGCCCAATATGAAATGGGCTTTGTAGCACAGATGTTTGGGCTCAGCTCCTGCTCCTGTATCACCCGTCAGAAAGCTTTGCGCTAATTCCTGAGTTGGCGTCGGCACAGGACGCTCCGAGGGCTGTAGGCAGCTGTGGTCCTGTCGCATGTCTCTTTCTTCCCCCTGCAACCCCAGACCCATGCCTGAGGAAATGGGTTGCACGGGCAGTCGAGGGGCTCGACAAGCCAGAGCTGCTCACCCAGCACTGAGGCTCTGCCGCTTCACCCTGCGTGGCGCACATCTCAATGAAGTTGAATGATGCCGATTAGCCCCTTAAATAACTTCGAAATCAGGTGCGGAGGAGCACAAAGCTTCCTGAGTCTATGGAAGCAGAACTTGCCGGGGTTTATTCGGGTTTGCACGGGGAGGAATTTTGGCACTATTTCCTGAGGGGCTCAGTGAGTCGCACCAAATGCCAGCACCAGGGAGAAGAGGAATCTGCTCAGCGCTAATAGAGGGACCTCACTGCTGCAAACACGTCTGTCAGCTGCTCTGACTCAAGCGTCACAGCTGATCAGTCTCAGATACAAGCCAGGTCTCTTTGAAACACAAATCCAAGCCATGAATGGTCGTGGGCCGAGTTTGGGTGGTGCTTTCTTTCTTCCCCTTAGTGAAATGAATTCTCTGTTTGGAAAAGGGGACAGAAGAAGTTACTGCAGTGCCTCTAGGTTGGCTTTTG